GCTATCAGAGTAGAAGGTCCGAAGTCCAAAAGCGCCCCGCGCACCTATCTACCCCCCACCCCCACTCCTACCCCCCATTTATCTACCTGGATCCAGGCAGCCACACCCTAGCCAGGTGTGATTGGCTGAGCTTCCCCAGCAGGTGTGCCCACCAGGGCAGCTTAAAGTCCTCTTGATTGACGACCTTCTCTGCTCTGTAAAACTATAAAGAACTTTGTGAAACTACTTCCACGTTAGAACATGTAATTTTCAGTATTTTAAATCTGCCTTTCAGGGCTGGAGAAATGGCTCAGGGTTTAAGAGCACTGGCTGCTCTTCCAGAGGTCCTGAGTTCAATTCCCAGCAACCACATGGTGGCTCACAACCATCTAGAATGAGATCTGGCGCCCTCTTCTGGCCTCCAGGCATACAAGGAAGCAGAGTGTTGTGTATATAATGAATAAATAAATCTGTATTCCACTCAAAGTGGCACCAGAATAAGCTGTCTTTGAGGTGTGGTTTTTACGTCCCCGACATGGGTGTCTGTGCTGTGCACATGAGCACTGGTGCCTATGGAGGCCCAAGGAGAGCACTGGACCCCCTGGAGCTGGAGTTACAGGTGGTCATGAGCACCTAGAGTGAGCGGAGGAAACTGAGTTCAGCAAGTGCTTTAACCACAGAGCAGTCTCTCCAGCCCCAGGAAAGAGTAGCTTTTGGCTCAGTCATTTCCTGTTCACCCTGGGGATGAGAGATTCTCACCCTATACTTAGAGAATGCTCTAACGTACACTACCAGACACCAGACAAATAAGACCAGCAGGGGCTGATTAGCCACATATAGGCTGTTCCCAAGGAACAACACACATCTAACAACGAGACTAACACATGTCACAGTGGACCACACAGGAGCTGGGCTCTCGGGAACAGAATAAAAGCAAGGGGCGGTGGGATTCAGACATCATAACAGAGTCTGGGGTGGTTCTTGTTTGACTGATTCTGCAGGCTGCCAGGGAACTGAAATCCAGCGCTCAGTGATGGGCAGGAATGTACCTGATATCCTTGACAAGGAAGGTTATCAGCTAAGGCCTTACCCGAGGGGGCAGAAGGGAGGGGATCTTGCCACAAACTTTTGGAAGCTCCCTGATTGTCTCCAGCTGTCGGGATGGCACATAATATTGAGCCTGAGTGTTTGGCCTGTATTAGTCATGTTCCTCCAGAGAAACAGAGCTAACAGGATGTGTATATATAGAAAAGAATTTTATTTTAAGGAATTGGCTCACGTGACTGTGGAAGCTAACCCAAAAGCAGTCTCCTGGCAAAATTCCTCTTTGCTGGAGAGGTGGGGGTGCAGGGATTGTTCTGTTAGTACCTTGGAGGACTGGATGAGACCATCTCACATCATGGAGAGGCAACTCAATTTCCTCCAATGTGACGCTCATCTCAAAACCACCCTGGACTGGATGGCTCAGTGGGCCAAGTTCCATCCCTGTGAATCATTTTTTTTTCAGGCTTTCTTCTGGCTTATTCGTGTACACACAAATAAATAAACATAGGTAGGGGCTGGAGAGGTGGCTCAGGGGTTAAGAGCACTGACTGCCCTTCTAGAGGTCCTGAGTTCAATTCCCAGCAACCACATGGTGGCTCACAACCATCTGTAGTGAGATCTGGTGCCTTCTTCTGGCCTGCAGGCATACATGCAGGCAGAACACTTATATAATAAATAAATAAATAAATAAATAAATAAATAAATAAATAGTCTATCCAGTAGTTCAAAGCATACATTTATTTCTTGGATGTACGTTGGCACAGAGTACAGAGAAGCCAGAGCAAGGAAAACAGTGAAGGCAAAGAGGCGGGGG